TGTTTTTAGATTCACTTGACTTGGCAAAATTACTTTTTCAAGTAATTTTCTCAAGTGGTTCTCTTTTCCAGAAGGTAGAAAACTTTCATTCATCAAAGCTGTTCAACTTTAATCTAAATGTAAAAATATTAATATTCCTAAAGCTCATCTTCTCTATTTTTTTCCTTCTCATTTGTTTTTTTTTTGGAGAAAAAATCTTCATTTTAGCTACTCTCAATACTTTTAATATTAATAAATTTTATTTATTTATTTATTTATGGAAACAGAATCAATTTTTTTCCATAATGAAATTTTTGTTTCAAACAAATTGTGTAGGTGTAAAATTTTCTTTTAGATTAAAATAAAATAAAAAAAAGAAAATTACAAAAATTTACAAAAAATATAAAAAATGATAAAAAAGTAAATGAAAAGATGCAAAATAATAAAAGAAAAAATATTGAAAAGGTAGGTAGGTAAATAAAAAACGATGGAAAATAAATTTAAAAATATCAAAAATAAGAAGAAAAATACGAGAAATGAATAAAAATAAATAAAAAGAAATTAAAACGAATTAAAAAAAAGAAAACATACGGATAGATAAAGAATAAATAAAATGTAAGGAAAAATGTAAACTAAAAAAAAAGAAAAAAAAACAAATAGAAAATAATTTTAAAAAATTGACAAAAGAAGGAAACAAATAAAAATTTAACAAAAGAACAAAAAGATACGAAATAAAAAAAGAAAAAAAGAAAACATTAAACAAAAAAAAAACATAAATAAATAAAAATAGTAAAAATAACAAAGAGAAACAAAAACGAAATGAAAAATAAAATAAAACGAAAAAAGAAAAAAAAAGAAACAAAATCGAAATAAAAAAAAGAAAGAAATAAGAAAACGAATATAAATAACGTAAATTAAAAAATAATATCAATTTGTAAAATTATTTTTCCTTGAGGGAAAAAAAATAATGCGTTATAATGCTAATTCCATCATATAAGCGTGCTGCTGGCAGCAAACAATTCTTTACACTGTTTTTTAACGTTCTTCCTTCATTTTCCATAATCCTCCCTCGTTTATGCATTCAAACTGCCTTCAAAAACACCTGGGAATACATAGTCAATTGCTTATTATTCTTTTGTTGACATAAGTCAGCTTATTATCGGAAAATGAATACATTCGTTGCATAAAAGGTGGGTTTGGCAATATTTCTTTATTTTTTCATATTATACTCTAAATTATAATTTAATGCCAACAAAATTAATTATCCATTTGCTGGCGGAATAATATTTTAATTGTCTTTTAGCAATTCTAATAATTAAATGTCCACATTTTACTACATTGTTTGATAATAATAAGAAAAATAATAAATAGAAAAAATAATAAAAATAATAATAAAAATAAAAATAATAACAATAATAATAAAAATAATAATAATTTAATTTTTGATATATAAATTAAATAAATTTTCTTAAACTGGCTAATATAAAGAATAATTGGCCCTTAGAAAAATTTTCAAATATTGACACGATAGAAAATTCGATAGAAAATTCAGTCTGTCAAAAAATTATTTTAAAAATCATATTTTAAAAATAAATTTGACGTCGTTTTATTTTTTTTATCCTTCAGATTGTTATTTTTATTATTTCTATTATTATCATTATTATAAAGAAAAATTTTTCCCTTAATGACGAACTGATTTTATTTATGTATTAAAATTTGTAAACGAGTCTATAAATATCGAAAAAATGTTGCACCTGAAAGAAAGTCGTAAGTAGTGCATTTTTTCTTCAAGTAAAAATTTAATAATAAAATTATTTCTAATGTGTTGTACAATATTTTGATACTGAGAGAATTTAATACCCTTTTTCAAAATTATTTTAACATTTTTTTAAAAGTTTTCACAATTTCATCAAGAAATTCCGGTTTGAAATCTAAAACTTTTTGATATCTCAAAAGTCCCTTCTTAAATTTCCTCAGACCTTATGAGGAAAGAAAACTCAGCTTTTCTAGTTTCTTCAAGTTTTTTTATGGACATTTTGGAAGATTGAAAGATATAAATTATATAATATATCTTAAATGTTTTCTTTTTTTTTTTTTTTTGGGAAAAATTTGACACGATGAAAAGTTGAATCCAACCCATGCTGTCCAACGTCAGAGTCAGATTTCATTATTTTCTTTCTCTTTAATTTTGAAATGAGTGAAAAAATAAGTTGCAACTTGGGTGAAAAAGAAGAAAAATTCCACAAAATATTTGTAAAAATGGGAAAAGAACTAAAATTAAAGAAGGTAAGTCCTCTTTTTTATATGAATTTCTAGAAAACGTAAATTCTTCATAAAATTGTGAATAATTAATCAAAATAATAAATATTAAGACTTGTGAGATGGCTAAGTGGCTTCGGTGCTGGATTGGTAGCAACAAGGTTCGGGGTTCGAGTCTTCATGACTATTAATTTTTCTGCTAAAGAATTTTAATTACTTCATTCATATTATTAAAATATTTCTATGAATTGACTAATTGTTAGATAATAATAATAAAAAATGATAATGATATAAATAATAATAATGATAATAATATGAATAATAAATTAATTTTACAATAATTATAATAATTTTGAACAATTAATAAATTTACCAGACAAAAATTTGTCTAGTTTTTATTATTTAATGACTTTGATTAATAAAAAAAAAAAAATTTTTTTATTATTTTTGTAATAAAATATTTGTTAATGTCTTTTTTCTATTTTTTATTCTGTGTATATTTTCCATTTCCGGCTAGTTTTAGAACTTTCTAGTGCAAATCTAGTAACTATAGTCAATCTAGACTGGCGCGTTACAGCGCCAAATGTATAAATTTTACAATATTTTGATTAATCCGTAAAATTTCTCTCTCAAAGTATATTGAAATTCAATCGAATGGAAAATCGCAAGATAGATCAATCTTACGGTTTACTTCAAACAAATTACCTAGAAAAATCGTACGCTACATAAACTTAAATTAAATTCTTTTTTCCATATTGGAAAATGATATTTAAACAACAAGTTATTGAAAATATATTCTTTGGAAAATATACATAATCTCCCATATTATAATATGAAAAATAAATTTTCGATAATATTTCTATTTCAAGAATAAAAAATTAAAAAAAAAGAAAAAGAATATTTTCAACAAAAAATTTTGAAATCAATGCAAACAACAATAACAAAGAGAAAAAATATCTGCAAGGATAATAAAAATAATATTAATATTATTAGTTAATTATAATAATAATAATAATTTATAATTTAATAATTTACAATTCACTTGACTACTAATTAAGAAAAACAAGAGTAAAAAAATTTATATTGTATTATAATTTATATTATATAAAAGTTTATATTGTATATAAAATGTTTTCTTAGTTGTTTTTTCCTCCTCCTCTTAGTTATTTTTTCTTTCTATTAAATATAAATTTCATCCAATAAGATTAATACGAATAAAAGTTTTTTTTTTTTTTTTGGTATTGAGACTAAAACCACGTTTTTATAGGTGATTTGTCGAGAAGAGCAAATCTGGGAAAATGGTCGACCCTCGTTTGTTCGGAAGACGAGGAAGAAATAATTTCCAGTTTTGCGCTGTATTGCGTCGTCCCACAATGCATATAATCCCCATTTTTTCCGTTTCAAGTAATTCTGATTAATCTCCCTCTCTCTCTATCTCTCTTTCTCTCTCTCTTTCTCTCTAGTCTGATTAGATTTTATCCAACAGCAAAAATTTTCAATAGCTTTAAAGAAAGCTTTATAGTATATTATTTTTTTCTTCAATCACATCTCCAAATGTGTCGTTTTTAAAATTTATATTCGTCGCACTTTTCATTCATTTCTGAACGCTGTGGAATACTTCATAATGAGAAAAAAATTTACCGACTAATTTCTAAATGAATACATAAATAAATATTAAATAAATAAATAATAAATAAATAAATATATAAATAACAAATAAATAAGAAATATAAAGAAATTTCTAATATTTTTATCGATACTGAATTTTTTATTCTAAAACTCCCTTTTAGAATTAAAATTTTTTATTTTTTTTTATAATTTTCTATTATTAAATAAATAATTGTTTTTGAATTTGGCGTGGACGCTAACTCCGGGGACATATAAATAAAATAATTAAACTCTCCAAATTTGAATTAGAAAAAATTTTCACTAATTTGAAAATTTGTATATTAGTGACTAACTTTTTGATTTTGAAATTTGAGTTAGTAAATTTTACTAATAAACTAGTATAGAAATTACTATTTATTTGTAAATTTTATGTTTCTAGAAAATTAATTTAATTTTTTTTGTTTGAGATTTAATTTTTTAAAAAATTTAATAGATTTTAGTGGCTTAGAAGGAAAAACAATGAATTAATATATACATTTTAAAAAATGAAAAATTCTTTATAGGATTAAAAAAGTGTCATTTACACAATTTTTGTAAAAATTTAAAATTACATTGGCTATGGAGATGCTATTCTCCACCTGCGAACGCCACGGTCACCAATAGATGGCAGTTTAGTTCTTTCTTGGAATTTTTACTGCCACCTGGTGGCGACCTTGGCGTTCTCAAGTGGAGAAATTGCACCACTATTTCATCCCTGAAAAACCTTTTTTACACTTAACTTTTAAATAGCTTTTTGTATGAAATTTTTGCTGAACAAAATGTTATTGTCCAAATAATTCGAAATTTCCCAGAGAATAATTTAATACACAAAACCACGTATCAAATAAAAATAATCATAAAAACAATAATAAATAATAATAAATAATAAAAAATAAAGTGAATAAATAAATTTAAATTCAAAATCAACTTTCGCCTTTAGATTTATTTTTTTCTCGCTTACAAGTTAAAAAATAAATATAAATGTAAAAAAATTATAATTTAAAAATTAAAATTTTCTCGAAGATGACGAGTAATTCATTTCAAATTTAGTTATGGTTTGTAATGGTAATATTGATTGACGAAAAAAGAAACCTGAAATGAATAATATTACATACTTGTCAGCTCCGGAACTACCGCCGGATGTTCGCCAAAATTGCCTAGACGAATTCGCCGATGATCTCGATGGGACGGGATTTCTAGTTGATGCGTATCTGCCGCCAAGTCTTCGGAATTGATCGCTCTCTGGATGTTCGGCGACAAAACGGGCCTTCTTCCTCAACAATTGCACCGTTAATACGTAGGTGGCGACCATTACGATCATTGGAATATAGAAGGCCACCAATGAGCCAAATACAAAGAAGGCTCTATTATTAATGACACAAATTCCTGGTCCTGGCATTATATTGCTCGGATTAATCAAACCTGCAATCAAATAATTATCCACAATTAATGTTTATTTGCATTCTTACGCAATTATTGGAAAACAAATTTTAATCTTTTTTTTCTATTCTAAAAAATTATGATTAACAAATAAAAAAAATATACCCATTTTTATTGTTATATGCTTTTTTCTATAACAAATTTCGTTTTCACTGATCTAAATAATTATGCAAATTATTCTCCTCTTTATTTATAAAAAATACTAGAAAAGTGTTAATTGTTAAAAAATTTTGATTAAGAAGTAGAAAATATATATACCCATTTTATGCATAATTTTTATTTCTCACTCATTTTTTTCTTTTGGAAAGAAAAACATTAGATATTCCCGTTTCTTAATATTTTTTTTAGAAAATTCTCAATTTTCATAAGAAAATAATTTGCATCAATTCCATTTCTTTAATTTCAATTGTTTTAATAAAATTCAAAGTTTCTTAAAAAAAAGAGGAAAAAAATGTTTATAAATTATATTTGTCAATTAGAAAATTTAATTGAAAATGGAACTAAAAATTTTTGAATTTTTAGAAAATTAAGGAAAAAATTTAATTGAAAAAAAATGTTCTGTTAAATTTATTTACAAATATATTTAATTGTAAAATTATTCGAAAACAATAATTTCTTTTTTAAATACTTTAAATATTTAATTATTATTATTTTTTCGTAGGAATTAAAATTCTTCAAAACATTCAAATTCAAAACTTTTTGAAATTAATCAACTTTAAAAATATTGTTATAAAACATAAAGAAAACGATTACTCCGAGTCTTCGACTCGGAGTGATCGATTTCTTCATGTTTTATAATAATTAAAGAAGATTGAGTGTTAAAATAATTATTTTATATTATAAGAATATTTTTACTGTAACTTCTTCAAAATTATTTTTATATTCTATTATTATCTAAAATTTAAACTAAAATTCACTTTCAAATCAATTTTTATTCGAAAATTCTACGAGAATTCAATTATTAAATGCAAAAGTAAATTATTTATTAAATAATTGAATGTTTCTTAAAATTTAATTCTTATAATGAATTTTATTAACAAATTTTTAAATAATTGAATTCTTTTGACTAATTTTATTAAAATAATAGATACCTATTAAAAGTCATTGAAATGAAGAAATTTTTTGAAAATAATTGAAATTTTAACAAGAATTTGATTAAAATTGTATTAAAAATAATTAAAAATCTGCGATGAGTTTTATTATTTCTGAAAATAATTGAAATATTGAGAAGAAACTTATATATAAAAAATTTGTAAATAATTGAATTCCTGTGAAATTTTTAATATTTATGAAAAAAATTAAATGTTTGCGTACAATTTTATTAAAATTGTTTGTAAATAATTGAATTCTTTTGTGTAATTTTATTAAAATAGTAGATATTGAAAATCATTGAAATGAGAAAATGTTTTGGAAGTACTTGAAATTTTGACAAGAATTTAATTAAAATTTTTGAAAATAATTGAATTTTAAAGAAGAATTTTTTTATTTATAAAGATAATAACTGGGATTTTGTCGAGATTTTTTTGTAAATTTTGAACATAATTGAATTTTGTGATAAGAATTTTATTAGTTTTTGAAAATAATTGAATTTCTGCAATCATTTGTAACTTCTTCAAAATTCAATTTTTTTTAATGTTTTTAACTAAAATTCTTCTATAAATCCATTATTTTTAATAATTAATTAAATATATATTGGCAAATTTAACTAATTTTATAAGATTTTAAATCATTAAAATTTTTCAAAAATCTAAGTTCATTAAAATTTTTAATTAAATCCATTCAATATTGAAATTTTATAAAATTTTAAATTAAAAACCGTTTGAAGTTCATTTATTTATGAGAATTGTAAACGCAACTCTTTTAAAATTGAATTAATTTTTAAATATTTAAATAAAATTATTCATTAAATAATTTATTTATTTTATGATAGTTGTTCAAAATTTAAGTTATTTAAATATAAATTTTTGTCAGAAATTGAAAAAATTGAAGGCTTTGTATTAGAATTCGTGGAAATTTTATATTTTTAGAGTCAAACAAAAAAGACACAAAAATTCAGAATTTTCTTATGAATTCTAAAAATTAAATTTTTTACAGTTCTTTTAATAAAAATTCCTGGCTTTTCCCTGAATTCCCTATGTCAGATTATATAATTATTATAATTATAATAATATTCATATTTTATTTTTATAAAAAAAAAATTTGAATTTAAAATTTTTACGTTCTATTATTTTAAATTTGGTAATTTTATTAAAAAAAATTGAGTGAGAAGTCAGCCGCTCGCGAATTGTTGCTAATTCTCATTAAGCGGATTTTTCTTCTGACTTTATGAGATATTATTTTTTTCGGTATAATTTTTTTCAGTATTTTTATTAATTATATTATTTATACTTTTATCATTTATATTATTGTTTATTTTATTAATAATATGGAGAAAGCTAAAAACTCGAATTTTCTTTTTATTCCAATTTAATTTGCATTTTATTCGTTCTTTTTCGCATACATATATAATTTGCTTTGGTTTATGTTTATAAATAAACTTAACTTCTACCTCCATATATATATATTTGCATCACTTTATTGCATTAGTAATTATTTAAATTTTCTACATCTCTGTATTTAAAAACACAGTGGAAAAAAATGTTCCTTTTTACTTTCAAATGAGCTTTTTTGAATTAAAAAAAAAAAATTCCGTCCTTTCTTCAAATGTATTTATCCATTGAACGTGTAGTGAAATTGTAATTTTTTTTCTCTTTCATAAATCAATAATTGACCTACATTAATGAATAATTATTTTAATTTTCTAATTAAAATCAATATTACTGTAATAGTGCGGGAAATTCAATTACATTTGTTGATGTGATCTACTTTTATATCTGCGTATATAATTATTGAAAAAAAAGTATAATTAATTTTCTTTCATAAAGAAGCAATAGATTATAGGCAAAATTAAAAAAAATTATTTATAATAATTTTCTTCTATTGCAATAATAATTTATTTCTATTGTGTAGCTTATTTTTATAATACAGTCAACTCTCGATAATTAAACTTTGGATAAATTGAATTTCTTAATAAATTAAAGTCAGTTATTATTATTTTATTATTCTAGTATTATTAAATTTTATGAAATGTAAAAAAAAGAATTTATTTATTGATATTAATTATTATAAATAAAATAATGTTAAATTATTTATTTACTTATTTATTTTGTTACTATGATTATTATTTAAAGTTATCTGATTAATTTTAGAATTTTAGCGCAATTTATTCCAAGTCGAGTAATAATATATAATGAAAGAAATAAAAATGTTATAATCCTGTATAATAATACCAGCAATTATACTCGTGGTAATAATAATAATAATAATAATAATAATAATAATAGCATTGTGGGAAATTAGGAAAATAAATTTTGCATAAAGTTTTTGAAGAAGAGGATAGACAATGCGCAAATTTCCTCTCAAAAGGTAATTGCATAAATGCTTCAAATACGTGTCTCCCTATTTATCATTCGCTTTGTTCAAGTATTGCATTGCTGTTGACTCTAGTCGCATATTTGGCAAAACCAAGTGCATAGACATACGTATTCCAAGCAAAGTGGATATAACTACAAAATTCATACGATTTTATTATTATAAACGATATGCCTAATTTTCATTTTATAATATTTGTCTATATCTCTCTCGCTCGCTTATTAATCAACTTATTTCCGCGCCGAAATATTCGAGAAATTTCCCGTAGTTACAAAATTCGAATCCTGCCGTTGACGTTCCATAAACTATGTTTCTGTGTATGTAACAGTTAATTCAAAATGCCATTCAAAAGTAATTAATTCTCGAATTATAATAGCTCTCTGCAACTTTGGAGTGTCGATATTATCGTTTTTTATTGCCTCGAATTTATTATTTTCATTTATTTATTTATTTTTTTTTATTAACTTCTTTTTACTTATTGTTAATCCTAATTATAATTAATTTCATTTATTTTATTTTTATTTAATATTATTTTATTGTTAATTTATTTTTTTACTTCATTTTTATTATTTTATAATAAAAAATTTATTTTTATATAAAATTGTTTAGTTAATTAAAAATTAATAATTTCTTATCCAAAAATATCGTTTCTATTTTAAATTGAGAGAAAAAAATTCAATAGATAGTAAACTGTCTGAGGAAATTAAAATAGAATAATTATTCCTGCAGATTTGAACGTCTAAATGAATAAAATTTATTTTTTTTTTCAAATCAAATATTAATAAAAAAAAAAATTATTTCTTTTCAAAATTTGTAATTAACGTTTTGATTTTTATTTCAGTCAATAATTTTAAAAAATATTTGTATTGAAAAATTACTTTCTTCATTTTTTTAACATTCAGAATTTTTTGTACTTAAAAAATTCTAAACTAAAAAGAAAAATTTTAATGTTAACAAAAATTTTGAAAAAAAAATTTTGTACTTCCTTTAGAAAATCTAATCTAACTTTTATTATTTTATTTCTATTTTCTTAAATAAATGAATAAATAAATTTTTATTATTATTATTTTATTCCTATTTTATTATTATTTTATTTACGTTTTATTTCATTTTTGTTTAATTTTTGTTTATTTTATTTTTGTTTTATTTTATTTATATTTCATTTTTTTGCTCTTTTTTAGAGTTTCAAATTTATATATATATATATATATGTACACTTAATTAAAAATTAATGTCCTACTAAAAAAATACAATTTCTCCCTAAAAATTGAGAGAGAAAACTTCCAAGAGACATACACAGTAAACTGTTTAATAAAATTAAAATTCAAAAAAAAAGAAAAAAAAAAATTCTAAATTCTAATAAAAAAAAATTTCAATGATAATAAAAATTATGAAAGGAAAATTTTTTTATTGCTTTATTAAATCCATCTAAAGTACCATCTTGAAAGAAGGAGGCACATAAAGTACAACCTAACTCTTTTGTTTTATTCATGAACAGACCTTCACAACAG